AATAAGGGTCATTTTATATATTGTGTTTAAAAAATTTTCTTCGTATAACGTTATACATCATTTAACTAGTATAATTCAGTATAACAAGGTTTTTTTAATATAGAATAATCTGTACCACACTGAAGATTCGTTGTATTGTGAAATTCGTTATATCAAAATTCGTTATATCAAGAGTTGACTGTATATTCTGATGACTTACAATACAAAACCCCTATAATAGGAATTTACTATAGTAAAAATGGAACAAATTTAAAATGCAAAATAAATTTTATTAAATATAAAATTGAAAATTTAATCTATAAAATTAATAAACTTATACTTTAAAAATCTTAAATTAGAATTTTAATATCTTCAATATTGATAAAGTTATGTCAGGTTAAATTTATCTAAAATTAATTATAAAAACTAATTAAAAAAAATATGTAATGATAAATTTATAAAAATGATTCTTTATTATTTATATAATTTATCTTAAATATTGAATTATATAAAGATATATTAGGATACAATAAAAGAAATGCATTATAATTACATATGAATTAGATTATAACAAATTGTTCCTAAAGCATTAGATTTAGTTTTTTTAATTAAAATATGTATGGCAATATATGATTATTTATAGAAAAGGTATTAGTAGAAAATGGCAGAGATTACAGCTAAAAAAACATATATCTTATTGTTATATATCTGATGCAATTTATAATAAAATAATAAAATAAAATAAAATAAATTATTTCATATGATTTTTAATTTTAGTTTCTGATTGGCTCATATATATGTTACACGATGCTTACATAATTTACAAAATTGAAAAAATAATTTTTTTTCAATTTTTTTTATTTGATTAAAATCTAATCACAGGATTAAATTTTATTAATGTTTTTTAAGTTCCTATTATAGAGGTTTCGCACACTGTAGAAATTTTTTGTTGAAAAAAATCTATTCTTCAAACATAGCGTTAAATGTCACATGTTTTAATTTTGCCCTGCATTACATAATTTTGCCCAGAGGCTTAATTTTATTAAAAAAATGATAAACAAATTTTTATATATATTTTTAAAGACCGTAAAATTATTTATAGAAAAAATTTACTTGTAAACCTTTTATTATACAGTATAACTATTTTTTTTTTTTTTTTTTTTTTTTTTATAAATTTAGGTATCTTGAAGACAATAATAATCTCTTATCTATTCTTGGAAAAGATTCTTATCGAGCTGAGATTCCTGTTATAAATCTTGTTCAATCTTTTTGTTTTGCTAATTTAAGCACCAATAATTAATTTTTCAAGTATGACAGTGCAAACACTAAAGTTGTGTTAACCATTTGTTATTATTAAATGAAAAAAATAATTCCAAAAAAAGACTAGTTAAAAATAATTTTCGGATTAAATTCCCTGAATCTTAAAACGTCCGAATCAAAATCTTTCGCAGTTTTTCTTTTAATAAAATAGTTGTTAAAGAAAAACAGTAAGATGGCAATATACCACTTTCGTAAGATAAACGTTTACGTTGCGGCGTTTCTCATTGCTTTGCTTATTTTCCTGCTGTCTTCACCATATGTAGCTCAGTCTAATCTTGGAACATTTGACCCGGATGGCAACAATTTAACACCACCTACATCTGAGGTAAAAGACAAAGACGCTCCTTTTAGCGAAGATCCTCCAAACATGTCTGGGCATTATAATTTATTGTTTGTAGTCACTTCTACAATTGACGCCATCCGTCAAAGGAAGTTATTAAGAGAAGCATTATTTGGTATCAAGAATAACTTAAAGCCGTGTACTCGGCAGGATGGTAATGTTTATTATAAATTTGTGATTCCGCCATATAAAGTTGTAGAAAAAGGCACGTTAAGAGACTTTACAGCCGAATTTGTTGAATATGATGACATTGTCGAGTTTCCAAATATCAGCGGTCAAGATTTTCAAGAGTCCATTCTTTCATGGGTAAGTAAATTAATGGTCAATATGATAATAATTTCTGAAACGTCTTTTTTAATTTCACAATTTTGCAAATTTATTAATTATTAGGCACAAGGTCTCGGAAAGAAAGGCATCACGTATAATCATCTTGTAATTATTAATGACAAAACTCTTATTAATCTTGAGAAACTTCAACAAATATTGGAAGGATCAGTCATTCGTGGAAGTACATTGACAATGACTCAAAAACGTATGCTTGTATGGGGTTCGTTTATGATGCTAGATTTTGATGACATGGCTATTATCCTTGGTCGCGATGCTGTTGCCCCCATTCTCGAATCAAAGAAAAGCATTAAAGTCGTCAACAGCAATTTTACAAATATGATTACGCGAGCTTTCCAATACTACCAACAAAATCCTAACGATAGCGGATTATTCCTTGTAAATGATGACGTTGGCATTGTAGAATTTCCAAACGCTATAGAAAACGTCCCAATCAAAACGACCGTAGCTGTAGGACATATATTCGAAGAAGACGATATGAAGGGTTTATTTGAACACCTTTCCGTATCCAAAACTGTGATATGTCATCCTCGAAATGATCCAAATAAATTAAATATTGCCGTGGTCACTAGTAGTTTTGTTTATAACGATCTCTGTATGCTTCCCGCGGCTCGTCTTACAGCTGAGAATAAACGTCGTTATGCCGAAAGACATGGATACTCTTTCGTAGGGAGATCTTCAGAATTTGCTAATCAAATTTACAAAAGTCGTAAAACTGTTTGGGGCAAAATCGATGGCGTCGAAAAAGTACTTCCACATTATGACTGGTTATTCTGGCTTGATATGGATACTGTAATTATGAATTATAATGTAACTATCGAAAGCCTTATCGAGAAATTTACGGAACTTGTTGGTGGAAAAGAAAAATTTGAAAACAAACATTTGGTTGTCGCAAGACCATCGAACGATAGGATGATTAATGCCGGAGTGTTTTTAATTAGAAATTCTGAATGGAGCCGAGAATTTTTTGAGACTTACACAAACGCGAAGAGATCTGTATAAAAGTAACATGTATGAACAACGTGCTATGTGGGACCTTATGCGACAGCCAGAATGGATTCCTGGTGTAAGTTGAAAAAAATATTTCTTTTGTTCAGAGATACGGCATTTCTGACAAATACTAATTAATTAATTTTATAACCAGACAATATTTTTAGACCAAGATGATCATACGTTTAATACTTTCCCTAAACGATATAATAAGGGCGATTTCGTGGTTCATTATGCTCCCGATGGATGTCCTTCCAAACCGATCCTTGATGCTATTGGCAAATATAATATATTAGAAAAAAATCCTGAAGTGGAGGTGTCACTTGACCATATAATGGATCATTGATTTTTTTTTTTTATAAAAAAATCACTAAAATGGTATAATCAAAATAATTCAATGAAAATTGGTCGAGGTAAATTATTTGAAATGTTAAAAGGAATCTGTAATATTACAGACATTAATTGTACAAAAAAAAAAAGGAAATGCTTTATCCATTCCCTACGAAAATTTATTGCACAAAATTGAATGATAAAGTAGATTCTCTAAATATTTGTAGCGATCTTTTGTATTCTTTTTTTTCTTTTTTAATCTCTAGATAAATTTGTAATGTTAAAAATAATATATAAATGTATAATATTTTTTTTTTTTAAACACATATGATATTACATATAATAATAATATTTCTAATAATTTACACTATATCGATCGAAATTTCAAAACAAAAAATAAATAATTTTCGAAGATAAATATTAATTTCTTTTATTCAAGATCATAATGTTTTAAATGTAACGTCAATCCTTGCGAGCGAATTCAAACGAGCGGTAACGAAGACCACCCGTCATAAATTCAAACGACGCACCCGAGATTAAAGTCAAAAGTTTATTCTCCAATTCTGAGACGACTTTATTCGTCCTCGATAAATCTTTTGAAGAGATTTATCTGATGAAAAAGTGCTTTTAATAGAATCGTTATTATTTATGCGTTGTAAAGATTTTAAAAACGACGACAATTGATCATATATAATAAAAAGTTTTAAACACTTGAAAATTATGGGACAATTTTTTTTTATTGATTTTTATTACACAACTATAGTAATGATTTTCGACACCCACGAATGTTAAATCTTCACGCCCATACCCGCTTTAATATTTATAAAATAATTTCCTTTTCAAGGAAAATTCAAAAAATTTTTAATCCCACTGCAATGAGGCACCCACACGGAAACCTTTAGTAAAAGGCGAAAGGTTTATACGATCTGCAAGTACCTCGTGGGAAACGTTAGTGACCAAAGGAAGCGATTTGCTTTTTATTTATGTTAAAAATTTGTAATTTTAGAAATTATGGGATTATCCATTTCATGGCGTAGTATAGCGCGATATGTACTTTTTCAATAAATATGCGGGTTCGGAGATTTGTATTTGGTAACACCGAAAATGCGCATTGGCCATTTATAGGTGGTCTGACAATACATATGGGCGGATGCAAGCTCTTTTCATAAGATCATCTGATGTGACTTTTAAAAAATTGTATTATTACACACGTGATTATCCCGTGACAAACG